ATTTATTATATGCTTTTACTTTTCCTTGACAATGTGAGAAATCATGAAAGCCCTTGAAATTCTACTGCTTTTCACTGTGGTTATATTGCATATTAAGATATCACTTGTTTCTTGTGATCACATTGCAGAAGTTGCATATCTGCAGTGTGTATACACTCCATCCTCTTATATGTTTTATGTAGATAACAGAATTGAAAAAATGATTTTCTACAGGTAGTTATTCAGTATTTTTAAATCTCCTACATCTGTTATCTTATATAATGAATGTAATAACCTAGCAGTATACAATTGTGAGATAGCTTCATTGATAGTTATAAATCTGGGCACTTGGAAGTAATAGGTAGCAATGGGTTAATTAGTTTAATCATTAGTATCTTGCTCTCTATTGCTTAGTTTAAATTTATTTTTTGCTATAATTAGTTTGTGCCTTTGTAACTAATAGCAAGCAGTTGGTTTTTGGATTATTTATGGGTTCTTTTAGTACTATATTAGTTTCTTGTGTCTATGCCTTATTGTTGGCTTTGTATTTTCCTACTTTACCTGCTTAGTGTAAAAAATCAGTGTGTTTTATTAGCATTTGTCAGTCTCATTCTGTGTTAGAAACCCTTAAAGCATGATTTTATTTCTGATGATTTTTAGGTGTTTTTAATGGGCTGACTTTCTGCCTTATTTATTTTGACTACCATAATAATAATATAGATGTACAAACAATTTAACAAATTGTACTTGAAAACTCTGCAGTTGAGAATGTTGTAGTATTAAAACAATTGTGCTCATGTGCATATATGTATGTATGCATGTACACATATATCTTTACATATTTATATGTCCATGTATCAGCATGTGTATATTTGTATATACTGTACTTATTGTCTATTTGAGGTTTTTGGGTAAAGGGGGGAGTGAGCCTTAGTTCTTGGTTGTGCCCATTAATTTTTGTCTGACTGATGCGATATAACTGTCATATCTATTTTTGAACTTTGTATGAAGTCTGCTTTCATTGCATATTTCTGAAGTGAAAGATAGGAAAGGAAGTGAGAATTAACCCATTGAAAACTAGGGGTGCCATAAACATTTGAGAACAGGGGTCAATATTTGTGGTCCAAGATACTTCAGCCTTCTACTGGAACATATAGGAAGTAATGCCTGGACAGCCAGGTTGTGATTACTATGGTACCCTGAGGGCTAAAAACTAAAACAGCTGGGTTGATCAGGGAGCTAACAGGAAGTCGGGCCTCAGGTTGGGCTGCAAGAATTGTTGAAATCAGCTGCGGTATGTCTGTTTTTGTTTGAAAAATATCTTGTAACCCTGTGGCTCATGTGTTGTGTAATTCCATATCTGGTTAAAAAAAAACTTATTCCTCCCCTATCCTGTCTACATGATTATATTGTATGCCAAAATCATGTCCCCTTGTTTCTCATTCGTCCAGCAACAGAAGGTTAGCCTCGTTCTATTCCCTAGAAAGCACATTCCTCTCAATTTGGGGCTTTATTCTGGATCTACTCCTTTGAACTTTTCTCCTATTCAACTTTTTTTTTTAATAGGTGAAGGTTTAATACAACTGCTTCATACTCAAGAATGGGTCACACATGAGGTAATTTTTTTTTTTACTTTGTCTTTATCTAGATTTCTAAATACGACATTTGTGAATTTACCTTGTGCTGTTATTGTTATTCTGTTTGTGTGTGTCTCAGAGAACAAGTTTGGTGTAATGGTTCTTTATTTCCATTTTTGCCTTCAATTGGTACTGTCATTCTTCCTTATTTCTCAACACTATAGCTTCCTTGTGCTGGGGTTAAACTCCAGTTGCCATTTATTAAGCTATTTAAAATAGTATTACAGTATTTAAAAAACTTTATGGCAGTGAAAATCATGAACTTTTGAAATCATACATAAATAAATGTATAATTTATGTTTGAATTTTACGTTCGTGTCCAAGACAGTGTGTTGCTGTTGACTTTACAGTAATTTATGTAGTACAGTAATAGAAGCAGGTAATAAGAGCATGTGATTGCATTTCAGTGTAGATGCACGCTTACTTAAGAATGTTCGTCAATAACATCGTTTTTTATTGACTTAAAGCTCTCCAGCATTAACAACAGCAGAATGAGCTGTTTGATAAGGCATGGTTTGTTGTTGTATTATGCTGATATGTTAGTGGTCATAATAAAGCTAAGCAAAGAACTGAATAGGTAACATGTAGTTTGCTTAGATATTCTAGCTTATGTACAAGTTATCTTATTAACTATCAAAATAATACGTGCAGTGTGATTTAAGTGAAGCTAGCATTTGACTTATTTCTTTGATAAAAAGTTACACCATGTAGTCATTCTGAATACTGTTTATTTGTAGCATCTGTAACAGGTGGCTTTTAGGTTTAAGCTTACTAAACCATTGGATTGTTTACTGCACTGTACTGTAGCTTCCACTTGATCATATCCTTGATGGCTTTCAAATAAAACTGATATAACAAATGCAAGTGCACACTTGGTATTTTTGATGCAAATAAAGCAATTTTGAGGGCAAGTGAGCTAGATAGAAGGTGAGCAAGAGAGCAAAGAACCTAGGGAGTGAAAGGGTAGGAAGGCAGGTGAGCAAGATAAGGCAAGCAAATACAATTTTACCCATGCAAAATGGATTATAAGTCGTGGTGATTTTCCTTCTTGACACTCTTGTTCTAATTTGTATCTAGTCATTGGTGCAGTAGTTAGTATGTAGGCCTGGGAACCTTTAGAACCTGAGTTCAATTCCAGTAATAAAAAAAAATTAAGTGATATTTAGCCATGATTGAGTGTGACAAATTGAACTGAGCTAATCATGTTCAAAGGCTTGAGAAACTCTAGTAAAACATTTCCACAATTTATTCCATAATTACCTGATTGAAAATAGGGTAAAATGTGAGTGCATAGTCACAATTCTAGACATTCCTTGCTTTAGGGATAAAAAAGTTATATTAGTGACACTGGTGAAACATACTTATGCATATGTTTTAGTTTTAGTAAGCTCTACGGGAGATGGGGTTATTTAAAAATGTATGTGTAACGTAGTAGGTTGGAACCTGTGAGCTCCAACAAGGTAGGACGGAGTCTGGACCTGACATGTATTTTGAAAAAAACACTGGAAAAAACATACAAATATGGTTACAAAATTATAACTTGTAAAATATGAAGAAATACAAAAATCAATTAATCTGACAAAAAGAACTTGAGAAAAAGCAGTCCTCTTTAGCAACATAAAAACTGTGACAGTAACATTTCTTGGCAGTGCACCCAAAAAATTATCCTACTGCAGCATGGGGACCAAGTATATTTCAGAGCTTCCAAAGGTACTCTTTGTAAAATTTATTATTTAGCATCACCAGGGTTTATATCTTTCTTTCAACACACCGGCCGTATATTGTAATCTTACCAGTAATTCAGCATAAATGTCTAGGAGCCTTTTAAGTTTTTCGTAGTTGAAAGAATTGTAATCAGAATCAGTATTAGCTTTTTGCTTGATCATGAACTCTGTCTCCATTATTTTGTTTTGTTTCTTTGGCCTCCCTACAAAATAAACATTGACATTAGTAAAGCTAATACTGGTACCATTAATCACTTCCCTTTTTATTTTCTGTGTCCCTTCATTTGCCATATTCAAACTCTTGTCACATATCTTGCCATGGGTTCAAACCCCACCCATTCCATGATTTATCCATCTTATTTTGGTTTGCCTTACCTTCTTGGAGAGCACCAGGTGGTCCAAATCTGCCTATCCACCCTTCCAAGCACAAAAGTCTCACATCTCTTACTTTGGATTTGTGCTTGCCCTTTGAACATTTTCAGTTGCCTACATATTACTGCAGTGTACTGCACATTAAAGGCTTCAGAGTCTGTTTCAATGCTATGGCAGCTGTTTTTTTTTCAAAATAGTGATCCAAGGACACTGGAGATTATTTTCTCAGCAAATTTGTATGGAATTCTTAATACTGCTAGCTGCAGTGATACCATGTTTGCTTTCACAATCCAAAGTGTGCTAAAAAGTGATCTAGTTTGATTCTAAATCCTGTAGTATTTTTCATGTGATGAAAGTTGTTGCATCCTCATCAGATAGAGCTCATCATCTCCTGATCCTTGAACATGCTGATATTCTAAGCCAGGGGTTCACAAACTTTTTAGATCATTCACCCCCCTTCCTAACTAAGATGAAAATCTAAGCACCCGTCATCTCCTTTGTCACTCAGACTTGGTGTTTATGACCACATACTTTGACACACATCCATTACCTTCATACTCCACTGATGTGTACTAATTTATTTAAAATGAAAGATGTCGAATATCTCTGAAATTTTATAAAAAAAAAAAAAAAGGCCTATATTAAATGCGAATTCTGTCATGATTTTTGATTACACACCCCAGGAGGTCAGCTTGTGCACACCTCAGGGTTGGCATGCTCCACAGTTAGGACCCATTGTTCTAGGCAGTAAACTCAGACTCTGCTTTCTCTGTACTTGAGTTCAAGACCTTCCACTCTCCCTTTTCAAGCTTTTCCCAGTGCTGTTACAGTACCTTAGAGCCTTTACCAGTCATTGGTCTGAGTCAGTAAGAAAGTGTCTTCATTCAAATTACGGTTGTGTGCCTGGCCTTCTAACTTTCATCACTGTCAGTTTGGTAAATGCTAATTCAAGTAGAAATCTATGTTTGAATAAACATTTGTAGGTTTAATATACACATGAAATTGGAAAAACAGTAGTGATATTAAATAAAGATTACTAACATGTTGGATCTAGTGAGAAGGTCAACAGGCTTCCAGTACATTGCCACACATTCATTAACAGATATAACATAAACATATAAATAAACAACATATACAGTATATTCATTTAGTATTTGGATAAGGAATTGTCTTTCAGCATTTTGGTTTTGAGGAATTTCCTGTGCAAATTATAAGTTATGAATAATATAGTGAATTTATAAATTATAAGAAGGCCAAAGGTAAGTAAGGGCTATAGAAGTTGTAATAAATCTCCATCATTTAGCCAAAGTCACATTACCTTGACTGGTAGTAAACTCCAGTATAATAATGAATGTTGTGGAAATGGAGTGTTTTGCTATATATAATGTGCCACAGGGTAATGGGCAGGACAGCAGCAGTGGCAGCTCACACTCAGCCCTTCGTATGACCCTGGATGAGCTGCGTCAAGTCAACCGCTACGCTGAGAGTACCAAGAGCCTTTCCTACCTGCCCCAGGTCAGCAGGAAGATGCATAAACCAACATTTTCTATAGCAATCTACCTGTACACATTACATAATTGTAAAATAAAACCTAGTTAATTTTTCATTATTCATTTACAAAAGGGCATTATTAGACTCATTCATGTGCGGTGCAGTACTGTATAACAATTTCTTTAAATTTTTTTTTTTAAATAAACAAGTATGCAACAATACGCATTGTTTTTAAGTGTCTTAAGATTTTGATTTTTTACAACATTTTACATTTCTAAGTCAATTTGCAAATTTGGGGTAATAGATTTTTTATGCATTTATTTAGAGCTTAGATAAAAGAACAGAAAAACAAGCCAAGAATTAAAAATATGTATTTTTTTTTTTAAATGGTAAAGTATGTATGCTCATGTGTGATTACTCATTCTAGGAGCAGGGTTGTACCTGTGCTGTCTCACCTTCAGTATTTTATATAAACTTATAGTATTTAGTAGGTGTTGCACCATTTAATGTAGTTTGTGTATATACTCAGTCTACACACACACACGTACGGGTAGACTGCTTAACTAATTTTCATTACAGTACAGTATATGATTTACTTTATATATAACTACTGATAACGCCATGAGGAAGTGGAGAAGAATGCTTTTTCTATAAGCCATGCGTGTTGTAAGAGGCGACCAAAATGCCGGGAGCAATCTATGAAGGTTGAGGTGAATCATAGAATTGATGAAGGGAAAAAGTTGAGTGGTGCACTTAGGAGTTTGTGGAGACAAAGAACTTTGTCCGTGGAAGCAAAGAGGGAAATGTATAAAAATATAGTTGTACCAATGCTCTTGAATGGGTGTGAAGCATGGGTAGTGGAGGTTGCAACACGGAGAAGGCTGGAGGCAGTGGAGATGTCATGTCTGAGGGCACTGTATGGTGTGAATATAATGCAGAGAACACGTAGTTTGGAAATTAGGTGTGGTATTACCAAAACTATTATTGAGAGAGCTGAGGAGGGGTTGTTGAAGTGGTTTGGACATGTGAAGAGGGTGGAACAAAATAGAACGACTTTGAGAGTGTATAAATCTGTGGTGGAGGGAAGGCAGGGTAGGGGTCAACTTAGGAAAGGTTGGAGGGAGGGGGTAAAGGTGGTTTTGTGTGCAAGGGGCTTGGACTTCCAGCAAGCATGTGTGAATGTGTTTGATAGGAGTGAATGGAGACAAATGGTTTTTAGGACTTGATGTACTGTTGGAGTGTGAGCACGGTAACATTTATGAAGGGATTAGGGAAACTGGCAGGCCAGACTTGAGTCCTGGAGATGGGAAGTACAGTGTCTGCACTCTGAAGGAGGGGTGTTAATTTTGCAGTTTTATAATTGTAGTGTAAGCACACCTCTGGCAAGACAGTGATGGAGTGAATGATAATGAAAGTTTTTCTTTTTTGAGCCACCCTACCTTGGTGGGAGACGGCCGATGTGTTAATAATAAAAAATAAAAACAAAATTATTTTTTTTATACTGTAGATTGATGCTGTTGAAAATTCAGCTTCTGTACCAAAAGCATGTTATCTTCCTTATTCAGCAGTGGTTATCAACCAGGTCTCGTGTGGTAGTGACATCATGTGCTTGGTAAATAAAGCCGATCACTAAATCTTTATTAGCTTAAGGCTTCTTAGTGTTTGAAAGATCAAAACCAATGGCTATCCCCTTTTAGCAAGATGATTGTTAAGATGATGAGTGGAATATTCTCTTCAGCAGAATAATTAAGAAGGCAAGTTGTAGACCATCCTTAGCAAGAGGTATTTTTAAGGAGATAGCAAAGAGTGGAACAGCACAGTTTTGCAAAATAGTTTTAAGTAGGTGGGAAGGGAACATAACATTTTGAAAGCTGGTTTTTAAGTAGGAGATAAGTTTGAGAGAACAAGCAGGCTAGATTTCACAAGTTAAACGTTTTGGTGAACATTGGGAATGGTTAGAGATAATTTCATAACGACGACAACTGACGAGGCTGCAAGTGTTGGTGAAGAGGTGGCTGCCTCTTATCGAGATGTTTGAAGAATATTATAGACTAAAACACCCTAAGAGGTTTAGCACTCGTGTATTAATATGCTATACATATGCAGATGGGTAGGGCAGTGCCTGCATTCTAAAGTCAGTAGGGTGGGGGGGGGGTGGGATTGCAAACCGATTGTGATGATAGGTACACTTCTGAAAAGACAGTAATTAGGTCAACTTGCCTTGGTGGGAGATCTGCCTGGAAGGAGTTTCAGGGGTCAGCCTGATCTGTGTTCAGGCTGAGGGGGAAAAAAAAATGCTCACGCGTGCACACACAGGAGCTATGACTCAACCCCTGCAACCACAAATAGGTGAGTGCACACACACATACACGTGCGTGCGCTTAGATATATCCAGTGGACATTTATATGTAATTTGCATAGTTATGTTCCTGAAAACTGTGCTATCAGTTTCTGTGTCTGGAGTGAAAAATATGAGAAAAACAGAGTTGCATTCCTCAAACTTCCAAAAAAAATACAGACAAATGTTTTCTGTCTTAATTCTTTGAAAAAATAATACTTTTTTCTTTCTAATTTTGTTTGCATGTGTGCACATGTGTATGTGTGCGCGTGTGTGTGAGCACGTGCATGTGCGTGTTTTGGAAGTGGTAGTTGGAGTGTGGAACATGGTTGCCTCCCAGGGTGCCATGTGCGTATTTGCCCCAACACCATGTGCTGTGCCACATGCATCACTAGCATTGCCTGTAGTGTGCTACCAATGCTAAATGCAATACCACCATAATTACTATTTCAATCACTGGCTGGTGTTGGCTCTCATGATTTACCCTAACCCCTGGCACAACACCAGAGTGAACCAGCACATATATTGATGCTTCACAGATAAATATTTATCCTTGCTATCACTTGTATTATAGACAGTGGTCGTGAAATCAATCTTGCCCTCATTGTCATCATTACTAATCTGTGCCTAAACCATGGGAGACTGTTAATTTTTGCTTATGCTTTGGATTTGCTGAGGCCAGAGGTAAATGATAGCAGGTCATCATGGTTTTCAGTGCTGTTCTTGGGGCTTCCCTGTCATTTTTTGTCTTAAAGCCATAGACTCTTTCCAGTATCACTCTCCTCACTGTCAGATTGACCTTGGTCGAAGAATAACATGTTAATTTGCTTCTGAATAAGGGGAATATGCCGGCACACCATTTTGGACTGATATGCTGTTCCTGTGTGACACTGTAGAAGCCTCGATTTTCTGTATACTGTGCTCACCCACCATGCAGAATTCTGGCATAAATTTATCATTGTAGGTGTAGTGAACTGTCAAAAGTGCTTGGAATAAAATACCCCGATGGGAAAAAAATTATGGCTAAGTTTTTTCTCAGTAGAGAATCAGGTCCAGGAAATTGTTGATTTAGCTAGGAGATTGTGAGGAAACTTTCAGAAAGCTGTTGAAAAGCCCAGAAGAAGTGTTGGTGGAGCTCTGTTCTTAAATAGAATGAGGCAGATAACAGAAGATGTGGAAAGAACAACCACCTGCCAATAATTAGCCAACATTGCAAAAGTTACATGAGCAGTTCCATATTCTTGATAGAATTGCAGACTTTTTCACTGAAGCGGACCCTGACACATCTAGAAGCACTCCTAAAGCGGAATCTACTTTGAAACAGGGAAGATGCCTTCCATATTGTATAAAATACAGCAGGGTTTCAAACAGCCAAGATACTTTACAGAATACCGATCACTCGGTACACCCCTAATGAAACACTGCTAAATACTAGTGAAAGGGAACTTGGCATCTACCTTAACTACAATCCCCTTTCAGCCCAATAGGCACCACCATCCCTTCACCTCTTTTGAAAATTATTGAATCACCAACATCCAAAAATTTAAAGTAGGAAAAATTGCTTAAGTTGTAACCATTTTAGCTACAATACTTGTTTAATTATAGCCTCACTACATTCCAACTACAGTTACGCTCCCTTGTTTTAAATTTGAGACGAAAGAAAGTGGCAGTTTGGAGTTGGAATTACATTTTTTTTTTTTTTTTTTTTTTTTTCAACAAAGTCGGCCGTCTCCACCGAGCAGGTACCAAAAAACACCATCCAAAAGAAATACTTCATCATTCCATCACTTTCACCACATCGCCCTACATACTGTTTTTGCAGAGGTGCTCGACTATAAATTTAAGAAACAATAATCATGAAATACAATATCCCTCCAAAAATGCCAAATTCAACCCTCTTTAAAGTGCAGGATTGTACTTCATTTCCAGGACTCAAGTACGACTATATGAAATAACCGGTTTCCTGAATTCCTCACTAAATATTCCTGTCATCCTAAACAGATCGTCAGGTCCCATATATTCTTCAGGTCATTTTGAGATATTTTTATTTACATACTGTTTTCAGAAATGTAACTGCTTTGTTAAGCAAGGGTCAATTGTTTATAATTTTGTGTGTGATTATTTATTATATATATTTTTTTTTTTTATTATCACACTGGCCGATTCCCACCAAGGCAGGGTGGCCCCAAAAAGAAAAACTTTCACCATCATTCACTTCATCACTGTCTTGCCAGAAGGGTGCTTTACACTACAGTTTTTAAACTGCAACATTAACACCCCTCCTTCAGAGTGCAGGCACTGTACTTCCCATCTCCAGGACTCAAGTCTGGCCTGCCGGTTTCCCTGAACCCCTTCATAAATGTTACTTTGCTCACACTCCAACAGCACGTCAAGTATTAAAAACCATTTGTCTCCATTCACTCCTATCAAACATGCTCACGCATGCCTGCTGGAAGTCCAAGCCCCTCGCACACAAAACCTCCTTTACCCCCTCTCTCCAACCTACCCTAGGCCGACCCCTACCCCCCCTTCCCCTTCCACTACAGACTGATACACTCTTGAAGGTCTTTCTGTTTCGCTCCATTCTCTCAAAATGTCGAACCATCTCAAAAACCTTCCCACCCCCTTGGACAACAGTTTTGGTAACCCGCACCTCCTCTAACTTCCAAACTCGTTCTTGCAAAAA